TATCTCCGGAGCCTGGCTATGATTTCTCGGTACAAATCGATCTTGAAAACCTGCCCGCAGAGGAGGAGGCCCGAAATGACCTGATTATGAACCTTGCCCTCCTGAAACGGAATGCAATGGCTGCCCCCTTTGAGAAAGCATTCGACGAATTCAACAAGCTCGCCGAGGAGGCTTCCAGGTACACCTCAGAGTCAGCACCACAGGGTATCCAGGAAGGCGGTGAAGTTATGGCGATTCACTACCGTGAAGAGGAGGCCATCTATATCAAGGCCAACTGGGACCGAGTCACAGTGATCTTCAGCACCGTGTTCCGCGAAGAGACAGACCGGATCTTTGGAAAGGTCTTCCTGCAGGTTCGTACTTTGCTACAATTGGTCCATTCATGAGAACCCCTGACTGACAGCCCATAGGAATTCGTCGACGCCCGGCGACGTGTCTTGACACTTCAGAACGCCCCCCAGGTCCTGTTCCGTAACGACCCTCCTCTTGAGCTTGCAAACGTTCCTGGTCTGAATGCTACTGGAGGCGAAGTTAGCTATGTCACCTTCGGTATGGATGCATATTGCGCTATCAATCTCCATTTTAGTGCTGACTCGGCTTGCAGTTCTATTCCCTCGACACCTGACCCCGCAGCGTCGTTATGAAAACATTTCTCACATCCAGACCTTCCGTGATTATTTCCACTACCACATCAAAGCCTCAAAGGTATGCGGTTTCTCTCGGTCTTGTTTAGGGATTGATCACTAAACATTTTGCAGGCCTACATCCACACTCGAATGAGGAAGAGGACAGCGGATTTCCTCCAGGGTATGTATCGTCCGAGCAAAGAAAGTATGTTCACTGCTAACTCACAACAGTGCTCAACCGAGCTCGGCCCGAGAATGAAGAACGTGAGCGCAAGACTGCTAGTGGTCGTACGTTCCGAGTGCAGGGTTAGAGCCTTGAGTTTCTTTGTTTGTATGAGCCAATTCAAGTTTATTGTTATTGTTTATATACTTTTTCCTTGTTCCCATGCTACCTAGCAGCACATTTGCTCCTAGGCGATCTGGAACGTACACAGGTGGATGTTCATGTTGCCCTCTTAGAAGACAGTCTCCGGTTCTGATAAGCTGGTAGGGTGGTTGTATATAGCATGTGGTATTGAACTGCGTTGATCTGCGGATTTTCAGCCTCTGAAACACCGGGCTGGGGAAACATCGGCCTTACAGGTGCGTGGAACCGAGACAAGCCCCGAAAAAGAGCCCAAAGCTAAGCTCGGGATAAAGATGAGGCCCCATGGGCACCGGGTGTTGGTGTCTGGTATTCTTGCTTCACTCCGTTGATGATAGTCTCATACGGACCTGACTTGGAAAGGTGTTGGCACTGACTTGCCGGTATATTTGGCAAGCATCATACATCCATGGATCTACCTAGGTATTTTCGGTTGTAAGGTTGGTTTATAAGGTTAGCCAACACTCGAATAGGTTCTCCAGCCGCTTCCAGTGTTCGAAGAACGCGTTTACGAGATCATGTCCTATTTACATCTATGAATACTTGTATTATGTGCACAATGTGTCGTGAGGCTTCGAAGCGCGCAGTTGGTCCTGCCCATTTAAGGTTAAATGTGTTGCGGCGTTTGCCGTGGTGAGTCGCGCCTACCTGATATGGACCGTTCGCCATAGTTGATCGAGTGAGTGGACAATTGTACTGATGATCTGGGCAAGTATAAATACCCACGTACCTGCCCTTTCCTTTCTTCCTTTTCCAACAATCCCACACTGCAAAGATTCTGTGATTGAAAAACAAAAACACCAGAAATTCAACATGGTTAACAACCACAAACCTGGTATATGGGGAGCTGCTCTCGGCAAACTACGAAAGACCTCACAGTCTTCGCAGTCTTCGCAGTCTGCAACCCAAGCTACACGTGAGCAAGAGACTCCCCGTGCGCTTGCCCAGGACAAGCAGCTTGTTTATCCTCGTTTCCAGCGCCCTGTATCGGACGATGCCCCTGTTTATTCTGAATTCATGTTCCCACCTACTCCTCTCCCAACTGTCCCCATGGCGGACAATGCCAATCTTGATCCTCTAGCAATGGCTTCTACCATTTCCATGGCTCGCCTGAATGCTCTGAAGTCCGGAAAGGACTTGGATTTGTTTATCCAACGGGGTAAGAACTGTATTGATGCGTATGCCCAGGCCACCAAGGCCATTATGGAAGAGGCTTGTGCCCGCGTCAAAGATGGAGAGGCCCCTCCACATGAGGAGATTGAACGGATGAAGGAACGCTTCTACAAATACTGCCAGTCAATTGTGGAGGAAGCATTGTCCATAGTCTCAGACGGTACCGATCACCCCCGGAAGGCCGAAGCTCCCAGCAGCTCGACCATGCCTTCAATGATCTCCTCAACTTCAACCACTATATCTGAGGGAAGAACACCCTTCCAATTTGGCTCGCTTGTTGACAGATCAGGATTCTCTGAGACATTGGTAACTGACTTGGCACCATGCATTGGTTTCACTTTTGAGAGATTTGACCCTGACCTGTGATAGCTCGCGTCTAGCGGCCAGCGCCGTCTTCGTCTCTACACCGTCAGTAGTGACGACTGGGTCATGGTCCCATCAGTGCCCTCGCCCACAACCCCAACCAAGCTCGTGGTCCCCGAAAACATGGATCCTGTTGAGGAATCGATTCATCTCGGTGTCATCGTGCGCATTTTCGGCAAGTTGTATACAATGTCGAAGATGATGGAGATTATCCTCTTGTATTACGGCGCCGAGGTATATTTTGAGCTTACAACTTTACTCTTGTCCCATACTTTTACGCCTTTTTTCTTGGAAATATAACAGCTAACACCGAGTTTCCACTCTTAGCCGGACAACTACCAGACCGGTCTGCCATACTGGATCAGACGCAGCGAGCAAAACATTCGCTCCCAGAAGATTGCTGTGCTAGTTGACACCGTCGAAAACCTTTACTATGCCCTATATGCCCGCATCACAATTGAGCTGGCCTGCATTGAGCTCTGCGGTTCCTACCCAGTCGACACTAGTGCATTGCGGGTTGAGATGCCATTCCTTATGCCAGAGGCTGATCATCTCTACCGCATCGTCCTAGCGTTCAAGGAAGTACTGGACTCTCCAGAGATCTGCGCAATCCTTCGGACAGACATTATCGCCTACTTCCAACAAGGATACATCAACCAGATTATGAAAAAGAAGAGCCAGAACGATGTCCCTTTCTTTGACCCCCTCGGATACCGCCCATTTGCAATGAGAACTGTCTCCTACAGACAGGGGGCCTACTGTCAGAAATGGAAGGGACTCATTCCATTCTTTGACCTCATCCCAGCAGAGACCATGGCAGTAATGTCGGAGAAGTATCTCACTATGACTCCAGTGAGTATTCCGCCTGACGACGTTCCATTCGAGGAGCTGCCATGGATCCCCTTGGAAGATGTGCCAACGGCTGTCTGGGACACGGATGTTGTGAAAGATAACCGCTTGTCGGATACTGCTAAAGGTCTGGGAACAACTATCGGAGAATTGCGCAGGACGGAGTCTATCCCCAGACTTTACAACCTTGCCAGGCGACGAAAGTGCATTTGCAACTCTATCTGTGGATGTTCCTGGGAGTGTACCGACAAGAATCGCCGCGACTGTCCTTGTGCAGAACGACATGTACGCATCATGGCGGCCAAGCGTGGACTTGCATACAGACGGAATCTACCAACTCCTGCTTTCCCTGCTACTGCTTCTACCACTGCTCGCATGTTCTTCGAAGGTTTGGCTGAGCTCAAACGTGATGTCAAGGCTGCTGATATCGCCAATGTGTTGAACCATGCTTTCGAACTGTTTTCTCTGTTGATTGCAAGGGAACGCGAGATGACTTCCAGGGGAGGCTCCCAGGAAAGCTTCTAAGATCGCAGTCCTGTCACTCTAACCACGACTTACGATTACGATTACGACTGCAGCTATGACTACGATTTACGATTCACATTTCAGTTCAGCTGATGGACTACAAGCGAGGATTCCCAGAGAAGTGGCGTTTCAAAGCAAACAACAAAGTCACAACGGAAAGGAGGAAAGGAGGAAAGGTTAGTCAATCTCACCGTGGGATTGTTGGGGAGAAACAATCGAAGGGAAGCAAGGGGAAGCCAAGGGGAAATAATATCATTTGACAGATATGAAACTGATCATGAACCATGTCATTTATTTGATGAAGTGACCACGAGAGGTCTACATATCCATTTTCAAAATGAATTGATTAACCCCCAGATGCTATTCCATGTTACGTACAGACTCACCTATCCCATATCCGACGGTTTAACTTCATCAACAATAGAGCACGAGGCTGTACTTGTGGGACCCATAATAAGTGATAGATTTTGGATTACCCGGCTTCACGAATCCCCTACCTTAATAATAATAATAGCTCAGTATTGACGAGGAAATAATCTTCGCCGGTATCTTGTGGTATTTTGAAGCTCTCTCCAGCTTTCAGTCAGATCGACGATTGATGCCAGGCCGGTTAGGATGCAGCCGAAGTTAGACAAACCGTACTACTGTGGAGATGAGGTCAAAATAAGGTCGGCCAACCCTGGAGATAATTGCATTTTGATTGGTCGGTATCTAGAGCCTCGTCTATTTATTAAGCTTACCCACGGTTCAATTGTTTACGACTCGACAGTATGATTAACAGATTCAATATATGGCTTTTCTGATGTCTTTTTTAGTGTCTATACTGACTTCGAATTTGGTTTTTGTACTACCTATTGGTCTTTAAATAGAAAATGTACCAGTTGAAGCAATTGTATCTAAAACACTCAACCTTAGAAGTATACCGGTGGCACACTTAGTCGCCCTGAGATCAAACCAAGCGATACTCACTTTGATTTGAAGGTCCGGGTGCACTTGCCTCCAGGTGTACCTGCCTCTGGGTATACCTGCTCATGGGTATATAAGACCACCCCCCGTGGACTATAGGTAGGCCTGTAAGTCACATCATCTATCATATCAAAATGGAGTCGAATGCCAACCAATGCCGATGCCCGGAGAGATACCCACAGCCGTGGAAAGCCCCCCTCATTAGCCTAATTGGCCTCGCTTTTGTGGTTTTGGTTGTGATATTGGTGGTGCGGTATGTGATGTCTCATTCGTTCTCTCTTGCTATGTCTGTCGTGCTAACAGTTATTTCTGAAGGTTCCATGGCCAGAGGGCCTCCTGAACTACCAACGGAATTATTTCGAACAGAAGGACGAGGAGCTTGGGCTAAAGTCGTTGATGAGGTAAGTTGAAAGTGCCCGTGGGAGGTGTAGGCCTTGGAAAAGATACCTATACTCACTAAAAGTGCCTGACTCTAGCCCGAGAGGCCCCATCTCTTCAGCCAGGCACGGCCCAGTCCCCCGCGACAAGCGAGATGGACGCGGACGAGCAGGAAGCGGAAGAGAAGAAGCCTACCCCTCCCCGTCTTATCGTCCCGTACGACAACTGCGCCGGCGACGATCTCCCCCTGGTGCAAAAGGCAGACTGTGAGTCAGTGGAGTTTGCCGTGCCACCGCAGGGATGCCGCCTGGCTCCTCAGCCCGGAGATTTCGGAACCATTCCCGACATCTTCCACGCCCTCAAAGACAAGGGCGTGATTAGGTGTTGGGAGAAGGATGTGGTGCCGTGGTCGGGGTGGTTCTGTTATGCTGCCTACGTCTTCCACTACCTCGTCCACGGCACTAGCAAGAGGAGGATATTTCAGAAAAGATTATGTTCTGTTTTGTTTTCTTATTCCAACCGCCTACCCCGGAACCGGCCGAATGGTGGATCCGCTCATCCTTTTCCTCCCGCAGGCCGTCACCCCCTGCTCATCATGTACATATTATTGGTTTGGCCTGGTTTGGCCTCGGTGTTTCTTGTCTGTTATTTATATACCCATAGTCTCCCAAGGCCTCGTTGGTTTTTGTGTTTTCATTTGGTATCATTAATAGAATTTTGATTCCCTGATTGTTCTTCTTGGTTTCTATTCTCATGTATACAGAGAGGTAACAGGTGTATATAGCCGGGGCGAGAATACCATGGCTGCCATCGATAGCGTTCAACCCGCACTGGTAGAGCGCCTCTACGAGTAAGGGCGCCTTGGCGGACACTCCCGCTATTTGACAACTGCGATGCCATCCTGTGTAGATGGGTCGACAGACTGGACCATATCTGCGTTAAGAGCAGGTTTGCCGTCTCTGGAAATACCAATCAGACCGTCAATGGTTATCGCGGTGTGATAGATGGATTGGCCTTGCTGACATTCTTGAGGTTCTGCAGATGAAGAACCAGAGATCATACCGGCGATGGTTTCTTTCAAGTGTAAGTACGAACACATCTATGCAGCCGAATGTATCATAGTGAGTAGGTATAGAGTATAATTCGAGCAATAAAACGAGTCCATTATTTTAGCAAATGATTCTGAAGCAAGGTATAGGTATCATCATAACTATTTCTCACCGCACCTGTGACGTGCCAGGTCTTGCAAAGATAGAAGAGCGCTTTCAATATAGAATAACTAAGATGGAGAGAAAGAAGAAGCAAGCTGTAAAGTTGGAAGCAGCCAGTTGATTACTTTGCAAATGTTGCAATCCTCAAAGCTTCTCGCTTAGCTATCTAACAAACAATCTATTCAAGTAAACAAGATAACAGTAAGTAAGCCAATAAGCGAGGAAGTAAACATGAAGCATATGATGAGGATCTGTTAGGTAGACCAGGGTTTCCTTAATGGGCAAAAATAGCAATTTGCCAAATGTAAAGCATAGGCCGAATACAATCCTTCAAGACTAGTTTTCAAGTCCTTGCTCCTTTCTTCTTTGTCTTTCTTCGGAAGCTCGAATCCTCGAAAGCTGATACAGCACCCGCACTCTACAGTGCAATGGCCTCTACCTTTCTTCCTTTCAGAAAGATATCTCTGTTCACAGCATCCACATTCCCGGCTACAACAGCCGCCTCGATCCGAACAATCCTGAACCATTTCTTCGCGCATAAACCATTTAGCATCACGCCTTAAGCTATTATAAGCATCTTTAGCGTGCATATCAAGGGCATACTCTGCTTGGTAAAGGGCGTATTCTTTTTTTAGGTATTGCGCTTGAGCCTCTTCGAGCTGTTTATTTGCTTCTTCAAGTTGCCCTATTAGACTCGATAGCTACAGCCTTTTGTAAGGCTATAACCCTATGGTGTAACGTTTCCTCACGCTGCGTTACTTCACGTAGGGCATGTTCTGCAAGAAATAAGTCCGTGGCTCGGAACCGGAAGAGATATTCTGTGTTTAACCCGTATTGTAGACAGACATCCGTTTCGCCCGCGAAGTGCCAAGTCATACTCCTATTCGAGAATCCCACGATTCTTTCGCAGAAGGCTTCTAAGGTTAGTATAAGAATAAGGAGAGAAAGACTTCTTGGTGAGTACCTGTATGATAGAATAAGTGAAGAGACCAATGGATGAAGCAGAAAGAATGTGACATGACAGGGTCCCTCGGAAGCTCAGGCTTCGCCGCCGCCTAAAATATAGTAGTAGTGGTTAAGTATGACGCAATTGGATGAAGACCAAAAGACATTTATAGATTTGCTGCTTGAAGCCACCCGCGAAAGTGGGCGATGATCATTAGTCTGTTCTTATCCAGAATTATTGGGCTCTCTGGGCTAGCGTCGGATTCCTCGCTATGTATGCTTTTGTGGTTCACTTTGAGGTCATGATGTAGTTGCTCTGATTTGGCTGATAGCATGTGAACTATGAGATTGCTCTCATTTCTCTTCTGCAACATGTGTGCCAATGGGGCGAATCAGGGATATATATAGACAAGTTCTGACAAGTTCTGAGCGGATCATTGGATCGGCAGGGATATAGATAAGTGGATGTAGCCCTAAGAGTGGCGGGGTTCAACTGCTCTGAAAAAAAGATAGATTCTGGACAAATGTAACTGAAATAAGAGAAAGAATGAAAAAGGAATGAAAGAATGAAGTAAGAAGAAGAATAAATCCCAGAAAACTCGCGATTTCAAAGATTTTCATATTCTCAGAGATACTACGTAGTGTAAGGCACAGTCGGCGGCGCAGACCAGTGATATCTTCGAGACACCCTCGGCCTTTACCGGTGAGTCGCACTTTTCTTTTCTCTCCCTCAAGCCCAGGTCTGAGTCAAAACTTCTTTTCTACTGTTCTCTTGTACTCCGTCTCTTCATTTTGCACCTTTCATGCCTTAATGCCCCAGAGCCCCTTCGCCGAGCCCATCTTGGTGCACAAAGAGCCAAGTTAGGGATGGTGACCAAGGCAGCAGCCGTGTCACACTCACTATCATCATCATGGACGTCCATTAGCAAGTGGATCGTGAACATAAGCATAAATCAAGCCACAGTCCAGAGTGCCCGCCTCCGACAACCGAGCACAGCACGGCCATATCACGCGGCGGCAGTGTGGCCCTCCTACGGCGTCACCACTCCCGCTCCCGACCAGCCAGTCGGTTCTCCCAAATCGCCTTTTCGATTCGAGACTGGCTACGCTCTATGTGCCAAACGACCTTCACGACCCTTCCCTCCACCTTTCCTCTCCCCACCCTCCTCATCCTTCTCGGATCCTTTGACGACACACGGGCTAAGCCAGGATAAGAGATTATCCGTCCAGGGCGAGCTAATCCGTGGCCTGAACAACGGAGACGATGCCATCATCGTCGCAGAGAACTTCATAGGTGTCAACGATGGCGTAGGCGCCTGGGCTACGAAACCTCGTGGTCATGCTGCGTGAGTGGTCTCAATTTCAATTTCTATCCTATGCCACGATCGCTGACTTTTTCCTTCCCCGATACAGACTCTGGTCTAGACTGCTATTACACTTCTGGGCCCTCGAGGTCGAAAGGAATCTCGACCACAGCACGCCTGCCATCGACCCGGTCGGATACCTGCAGTATGCATTCGAGGAGACCCTGCGGGCAACCACATCTCCTACCGAGTGGCTCGGCACGACAACCTCGGTAACTGCCATAATACACTGGATCGAGGGCGAAGACGGCACACAGAAGCCATTGCTATACGTTACGAACCTGGGCGATTGCAAGATCCTCGTGATCCGACCGAGCGAGAAAAAGGTCATTTTCCGCACAGCCGAGCAGTGGCACTGGTTCGATTGTCCCATGCAGCTTGGAACAAACAGTATCGACACACCCCGAAAGGATGCAGTCTTGTCCAAAATTGAGGTGCAGGAGGACGACATCGTCCTGGCCTTCTCGGATGGCGTCATGGATAACCTATGGGAGCATGAGGTCCTGAAGATCGTTATGGACAGTATTGACAAATGGGAGGAAGAGCGCGCGGCGCCAACAAATGTTGCGCAGCACGCTCATCTGTCTGATAGCCGCAATGTCTATGTCGCCAGGGAACTGCTCAATGCTGCTCTCACGATTGCCCAGGATCCATTTGCGGAGAGTCCCTACATGGAGAAGGCAGTGGATGAGGGTCTGGCTATTCAAGGAGGCAAAATGGACGATATCTCTGTTGTGGTTGCATCTTGCAAGAAACGGGATGGATGAGATGCACCCATTGGTTTTACGATCAGGCTTTCACAAATATCCATCTTGAATTCCGCGTCTTGATCTGCTTGCCTCGGACGTGTGCCAGTTGCCATTGACGGACATCGGCGCACGAGGCAAGCTCTTGTTCTCCGTCTAGCATCTAGATTCTCATATCTATCGCCAAAAGCTTGTCCCAACTACATCGCTCTTGCGCAGCTATGATGCCTTGCAAGCGTCGAATCAGGACCCGGACATGCATTGCAGTGAAACACTCACCCCATCAAACCACGGGAAATGGCTTCCATGTCAGCTGGGTTACTCTATGTATCCCCGAGTTCTCCAGCGCGAAGCTTGATTGCTTATGCCTGGTCATCATCATGCCCCCACCTGTTGGTATTTCAATCGGCTCAGGCAACTTTCTAACCAGCCCACATTGTGTATTGATATTTTGCACCGAAGCCATGATGCCAACCGGTCAAGCTGATGATTCCTATGGCAACCCTCCTATCACTTTTGAGACCAATTTCCTTACGATTTACCCATGAGGGATTCCATTACTTGACGCGGTGTGGCTAGTCTGTCCATCGTTTATAGTTACTTGAGTCTAAACAAGACAAATAATAATATTTCCTTGAGTCAATACATTCTCATAACTACATGTATTCAAGTCTGCAGCGATCAGTAAATGCTAAGTACAGGGTACTTAATCTCAAGGCTAGACGCCCCACTTGACAAAGTATTGGGTACCTCACCATCAGCACAGACCACATCACCGCCGCTCCCGCCCGGCAGAATGAAAAAAGTTTCGGTCGACGCAGAAGCTCATGTCTTTTGCTGCATTTAATCTTCAAATACTTGATACTCACCATTCACAATGAGGGCCAAACGTTCAAAGAAGTATCGCAAGCTTATGCACCAGTATGAGCTCACTTTCGGTTTCCGAGAGGCCTATCAGGTCCTAGGTATGTCCCATTCAATGTATTGTTCTGATGTACAGTACTGACTTGCGCTCGAACAGTTGACTCGAATTTCCTTCGCGCCACCGACTCCTTCAGGATGGAACTAATTCCTGCACTTGAACGAACGATCCAAGGCAAGGTCAAGCCTCGTGAGTCTCACCAGACAAAGTTCCCATCCGCCAAGACACATCCCAACTAACCATCTCAACAGTATTAACAAAGTGCTCACTCGCCGCTATCATGGCCGCACAACCCATCAACCCCAAAACCGAAAAGCCATACCGACCTCTCTTCCTTCCCCCGCCCACAGAACTCCCTCTCCGCCACTGCTCGCACAACGCGGACTCCACGCCCATCGACGAAGTCGAGTGTCTCCTCTCGCTGCTTTCACCCAACGCAGACTCAAAGAAGAACAAGGAGCACTACATTCTCGCATGTGCGGATCCAATCTTGAGAAAGACGACCAATAGCGAGAACCAGCCCCGCAGACGGAAGACGGAAGAGGATCGTAAAGAAGAGGAGGCTATGCGCCGCTCCCGCGCATTACGCGCCGGCGCTCGCTCTATTCCAGGTGTGCCTATCATATACGTTAAGCGCTCGGTTATGGTCCTCGAGCCGATGAGCAGTGCTTCTGAGATGGTGCGGGATGGTGTTGAGCGTGGGAAGTTCCGCGCTGGATTGGATGCGGATCCCATGCTGGGCAAGCGCAAGAGGGATGGCGAGGCTGATGGAGAGAGTGCTGATGAGGAGGAACCTAAGAAGAAGCGCGGTCCTAGGGTCAAGGCGCCTAATCCTCTCAGTGTGAAGAAGGCTAAGAAGAAGACTGATGCGCCTGCACCGAAGAAGGATAAGCCTGTTCGGAAGGAGGTTGATGTCACAGATGCAACGGAGCAACATGATGGCGATGATACTGCAGCGGCTAAGCCGAAGAGGAAACGTCGTCATGCTAAGAGTGGTCCCCGTGAAGACTTCGAGGAGGCCGCCGAGCCTAATGAGGCCACGGAGGTTGACGCTTGATTGAATCTTTACGGCATAGGCGATTCATGATGCTGGTTATCATTGCATGCATTCTCAACCTTATTTCACTTCTGGGGTGCGGCGTTCAGATCGGATGGGTTATATCTAAAAGTTCAGCTGATGTGCATAATAGTAATGTACATCTGATATCATTCAAGAGATCTTATAATCTCAGCAAATCGTAGATTAAGTGTTGGACATTGGTGCCAGATGAAATATGGCAAACAAGACAGAGCGAAGGCCAGTCGGCTATATGTACATTTAAACGTTCAGATATCGTACAAAGTATTCTTCCCCAGATGAAATGAGAGGAGATAATTCGGCCTCGGTCTGCTTGTCCCGTGCATTCAATGTTCTCATGTGAACATATTAAAATCGGGGCCATGCCGAAGGCTATTAATAAAAAGTAGCAGTGTTATCTTTCAAGTCTGAGCCAAATCGAAGAATAGCCATTGAAAGCACACCCCAAACTCCAGTTCCAAACATGATGGCATGATGGCATATGCTCATCCAAGACACAGTCTATTGCTTCGCAGCACTAGCACTAGCATTAGCCGCCGCCGCCGCAGTAGCCGCCCTAGCAGCCGCAAGCGCAGGCCCTCCTTGCTCTTGATCAAGCTCGCGCTCTTTGGCCCAGATCTCCTCCATACGCCGGCGGTTGTTGCGCGCCTCCTCTCGGTTGCGCTTTGCACGCTCGTATCGCTCCGCGGAGAGACATTTGTTCACGTCGACCTTGATATCGTTGCAGCTCCCGATGACTTTGTGTAGGAATCCCTTAGCGTGACACTCATCTAGAGCAGTCATGATCTCTTCGCAATCTGTGTGATATCAGTCAGTATGGACAGCGGTATGGGATGGCGAGATGGATCTCCCGGGCATGGTCGACTCGACGTACTGGCATTGTAAGAGGTGTGAAGATGGGAATGCATGATTTCAATGGCACTGGTCTGAAAAACTGAAAGATAATTCAAGTTCAATCGTATGATCAACGAAAGCAAGAACATCGCAAAACGTCTGGGCGGTAAGGAGATCGGCCGGATTCTGCCGGGCGGACAGCCCCTCAGGCACGATAAAAAAAAATATCGCCGATAGAAAAAAGTGGACGGATGTGATTAGTTTCGTCACAACATTTTCATAATGTCTTCCATGATTACAACTACGACATGGGTGCGGCGTGGTGTCGCTGCCCAGTTCCCTACCAAATATGAGATCGACGAGGCCGAGATGAGCCGTATATCTAAGCTTGCGCGCATGCAGCTCGAGGATGCGAAGGATGATATGAATGCTGCCCAGGATGGTTCTGAAGATGAATGTGACGATGCTATGGAGGATGATGCTGAGGAGAAGACCTCGGCCAAGGACACCGATTCAAAGACGTGAGTGATGTTGAGCGCAGCGCAGATTCAACTCATGCTAATCGGATTTTACAGCGATGATGATGTGTTGAAGGAATTCGACATGGATAACTACGACAAGGAGGAGATTGATGACGATGGCGAGAAGATCACCATGTTCGGCAATGTCCAATCCCTGGCCTACCACCAGCCCAACGAGGAAGACCCGTACCTCGTGATCCCCGAAGACGAGGATGATGAAGAACGCGAGGAGCTCCAGATTATGCCCTACGACAACCTTCTATTGGCCGGAAAGGTGGAGGACGAAGTTGCGCACTTGGAAGTCTACGTCTACGAAGACAAAGCGGACAACCTTTATGTGCACCACGACATCATGCTTCCCGGTATCCCACTTTGCACAGAGTGGCTTGATATCCCCGTTGGCAAGAACCCAGAAGGTCGGACGCAAGGAAACTTCGTGGCTATTGGAACCATGGAGCCCGATATCGAGATCTGGGATCTGGATGTCGTGGACTGCATGTACCCCAACGCGATTCTCGGACAGGGTGGCCAGGACGCCGAGAAGCCAAAGAAGAAGCAAAAGAAGAAGGCCAAGGCTAACGACGAGTACCACATCGATGCCGTCCTGGCGCTGGCCGCCAACCGTCAGCACCGCAACCTGCTTGCCTCGGCATCAGCCGATAAGACCGTCAAGCTCTGGGATCTCAACACCGCCACCTGCGCCAAGTCCTACTCCAACCACAAGGACAAGGTATGCTCACTAGACTGGCACCCAACCGAGTCCACCATCCTGCTGAGCGGCAGTTACGACCGCACCGTAGTGGCAGCAGACATGCGTGCGCCGGACGCCCAGGCGCGCTGGGGCGTCGACGCAGACGTCGAGTGTGTGCGCTGGGACCCGCATGACACCAACTTCTTCTACGTGACCACCGACGGCGGCATGGTCTACCGCTACGACATGCGCAATGTCCCCGCCACCCCTGCCGAGTCCAAGCCCGTCTGGTCTCTGCAAGCACACGACTCCTCCGTTTCATCCTTCGACATCAACAGCTCTATCCCCGGCTTTTTGGTGACCGGCTCAACAGACAAGACCGTCAAGTTGTGGAGCGTCGAGAATGACAAGCCCACTTTGGTTGTCACGCGCAAGCTTGAGGTCGGCAAGGTGTTCTCTACTACCTTCGCGCCCGACCAGGAGGTCAGCTTCCGGCTGGCAGTTGCTGGTAGCAAGGGTAATGTGCAGATCTGGGATGCTTCGACTAACGGCGCTGTCCGTCGTGCGTTTGTGTCTCGCATGCCTGACCTTGCTGGTGATGTCCCGGAGCGCACGGTTGGTATCAATGCTGATGATGACGAGTCTGATGATTCGGGAGAGGAGGGTGATGAGGGTGAGCCCCGTGGTGGTGATGGCTGGGAGTCGATGGATGAAGACTAGGTGGACACAGATACCCGTGGAATCTTCCGTTTCGTGTGCGCCAAAAAATAGATTTGCTGTTGGGTTTTGCATGTTAATGACTAGTCCGTTATGAAGTTTTGGAAATATGAGAACAAAACAATTTCAATGACATTCGGAAGTATGTTGTACACTTTACCATGATGCAGCACTCAAATGATTAGCTAGGGAATAATATCCTAACAAGGTTCATGTAAATCTCCTTCAAAGGTTATCCCGTGGCCCTGGGACCCACATAAAACAACCTTATTCTAAAACAGACCCCAGTACGGAGTATACCCAGTGATACATGTTCTCCATAGCTTAATTTCTATACTCCAAATCATTCTCTATACTTTGAACTCTTGTACTAATATATACTGGGCTCCTTATACTGTTCTGATGATGGTCAGATCAACGAGATTATTGGTGTATCGCAGAGACAAATTCAATTTACATATCTTACACCTTTTTCACAGCCTTTTCTGGCGGAAGAGCGCATCACTTTAGTCCCTACCCTGGTATTGGATTATATGACAAACAATGGGATGAGAATGAATGTATAAACAAAACTTGGATAGGGCTGGAACACCTATTGGCGTACTCATCTTTGGGAGTAAGAGTTAACAGGTGAACCCGGTAGAGCTTAAATAAAACTTCCATTTCCGACAACGTGCAGAGTCGAACGGCGACGAACACGTGACTTATATACGCAGTATACGTAGTATGAATATACGGAGTAGTAGGTTAATGTATACAAAGAGCCTACACTCTATCTCATCAATAAAGCTTGTGTAAAAGAAAAAAAAAATGGGTTACTTCTCTTTGATTGAGCGTGTCATCCTTAGTGCAGGGGCCATGCTAATCTTCTCTGTATATTTTCTTTTCACCGTATGCCCCGAAGGGCGAAAGGACATCCTTATAGATCAATACAACCCCACTTTTCTGCATAGAGATACCGCCTTCTAGATTAGGTAAATAGTAGTAGAATGGCAGAACCAGACCGCCTAACAGGCTTGTGCCACGCAGGCACTATACTTCACACATATACGCTTGTCTATCTTGGTTATGTTTTGGGTTGTGCTTATAAATGTTCTTAGATCAGACATTCTGTTTAGATATCTCTTCTCCCCTTATTGGGGTTATAGGTAGAATATAGGCGGTGAGAACGGCCTAAAAATGCGATGTAACTATATTGTACTACAATAACCTTTTGACTTAGTCTAAAAAGAGAGCCCGAGCATCCAAAAAGAGACGCCGAACTGATACCTGTGTTGTAGGTACTCTACATAGTTATTTAAGCCCTCCTGCTGACTCGGTAGACCCTCTGTATCAATATCATCTTCTCCAAAAAATATGGAAGCTAGTTTCCAATCCGCCATCGACGCCGGCAAGATCCACGGCGCTGTTATCTGTGCCACTGATGCCGAAGGCCACTTTGTCTACAACAAGGCGATCGGAGAGCGCACTCTACTCTCAGGCCAAAAGCAGCCACAGCAGCTCGACGACGTGCTGTACCTAGCTTCAGCCACGAAATTGATCACAACCATCGCCGCCCTACAGTGCGTCGAAGACGGCCTACTAAGTCTAGATGGCGACCTATCATCCATCGCCCCAGAACTCGCTGCAAAGCAAGTTCTCACTGGCTTTGCCGACGATGGAAGCCCTCAGCTCGACCCACCAGCCCGCCCCATCACCCTCAGGATGCTGCTTACGCACAGCTCCGGCACCTCCTACCACTTCCTGAACCCGCCTATCGCCAAGTGGCGCGCGCAGTTTGGGAACCCTGAGAATGACGACCCCCGCCTCGTCGAGGAGATGTTCACTTACCCGCTCAGCTTCCAGCCCGGTGCCGGCTGGATGTACGGGCCCGGTCTTGACTGGGCTGGCCGCGTGGTGGAGCGTGTCACGGGCGGCTCGCTGATAGACTTCATGCAGAAGCGTATCTTCGACCCGCTCGGTATCAACGATGCTCAGTTCTATCCCGCTACCCGTGAGGACCTGCGCGCCCGTCTCGTCGATCTCAATCCCAGTGACCCCGGTGCTGTTGGTAGTGCCGTGCTCGGCGGTGGCGGCGAGATGAACCTGCGGGGCCGTGGTGCCTTTGGTGGTCATGGGCTGTTCTTACCTGGCTCGGATTTTGTTAAGGTTCTGCGCTCGCTGCTAGCTAATGATGGCAAGTTGCTCACGCCTGCTGTCGTCGACAATATGTTTCAGCAACACCTTGGCCCCGAGGCGGCGGCAAGCCACCAAGCTGCGCTTGCTAGTCCTCTTGGACCCTATTTCCGCGTTGGAACAGACCCGGAACTGAAGGTTGGCTATGGCCTTGGCGGTTTGCTGACGCTTGAGGATGTTGACGGCTGGTATGGCGAGCGGACGTTGACTTGGGGTGGTGGTTTGACTCTCACTTGGTTCATTGATCGGAAGAATAACCTCTGTGGTGTCGGTGCCATCCAGGCTGCGCTGCCGGTCGATGGAGAGTTGGTGGCTGAGCTAAAGCAAACATTCCGCCATGATATTTACCGCATATATAACGCGTGGAAGAGCCAGCAGTAGACGCAATTTACGATGGAAGGGAAGAGTGTCTACTTTCTGGTTTGGTAGATAGTTGATTGGAATGCGGGACATGTAGGTATCACCGAACATAATGAAGCTCGCCTTGGATACACCAAGATAAGTTCAATAACGTACCACAACAAAACTCAATGGCTTTTTAAAGAGTAAACTAGCAAATTTAAATTTCTATTGTACAAGCGACCAGACCAAGGCAGGCCAAGACTAATATCAAAAGAAAAAGATTCAGAGATATCACCACATGAAGCGCTGGATCTTGCCAGGCTCCTGCGGCCACTCAAAGCCCTTGTACAGGAAGAGATACCCAGTGATCAAATTAATGATCAAGAACCAAACCGTCTCCACGAACTTCGGTCCGTTGACAATGAGGTCAGAGCGACGTTTAGCTTCCTCTGTGCGGGGGCGAATATCTCGGTCCCTGAACAGACATGGCGTAGGAGGAAGGTGCACACGCCACATAACCCACGGGATGATCAAGTAGCGGGGTTCGACAAGGGGTGCGGTGATGAGAGACAAGGAGGTAGCGGCCAGCCAAACAAGGACAAAGCTAACGCGTGGTGCCTCCAGTAATTGTCTCTGGCGCGTGAAGATGTGTTGCTGGACTCTAGCCAGGACCGCGGGATCATTTGGATCCGTAATCTCCGCTGGTAGCTCAGTTAAGTCAGTCTTCTTGGTTTCTGGGTCATCCTTCTTGATTTTCTTGTAATTGGACCTGTTAGGCTTCTTCGTTCCCTTTGGTGGCTGTTGGTGCGCCTGTAAAGGCTTGCGCGCAGAAGACTGAGTAGATTTGGGCTCTTGTGCTACTGGGGCTGGAGCCGGAGCCGGAGCCGGAGTCGGAGCTGGGGGCGCAGCTGGGGCAGCTTTATGAACTCGCAAGGTTTTGGGCGGACGTTGGATGGTGGTAAACCCAAAGGCGGAGATCACGACCCATCCGCAGAGGAAATACACTGGCACTGCAGCATACTTGATTGCTGGGTGAAGCATAAGAATGCGGAATACGTAGAACACATAGTGTCGGTTATCAGCAAGGGTGAAGGGGTGCACAATGGTGTTGAAGTGGACCACGGCAAGCATAAGTGGGATCACAATCAGGGCAGCCTTGAGCTTGGGATATTTCCTCTGTTTCGGCGGGAGACCGAGGTTCAAGTATTTGGGGAGTGGTTTGAGGGCGAGAATATTGATCAGAGGAATGACGAAAAGAGGCCATGAGAAGAAGATGAAGTACGGCCAGATGTAGAGCATCTGAGCCAGGTGGATACCCGCGGTATGGAATTCCTTGTGGCCTAGTGAATAGTAACCGTCAGTAAAATCGCACTTGATGTGACAAAACAAGTCACCCTTACCTAGGACGACTCCATTATTCCAAACTACAAATGCACCAAAGGCCGCGAGGACGATGATGTGAGGAATGACAGAAACCAGGAGAGAAAAAGGCTGCTTCAGACTGACAGTCGCAAGTGAAACGGCGGTCTTCAGGTAATCTATAGATTGAGTTAGAATGGTCTCCCGCTTACTTCATATTGTATATCCAACAGATCAACTCACCTTCCAAGGAAGCCTCCGAAACGAGAGGATCATACACCTCATTCTGCAGGCCTTGTTTCACGATAGTTGACACATCGGATGACATGCATGGCGTGGCAGACTTTCTAATCTTGCGGACTACCTGAAGTCCACCTAGGAAGACCGAGACCCAGAAGATATTGGTCTGTCGGAAGACCAATGCAGCCAGCGCGAAAGCCAGGAATCCCAGTGTCTCCTGAATACCACTGCGAGTCGCTTTTGTCGCGTCGTTTCCAGAGTCGCTTTGCTGGTCTCTCTCCAAGTCTCTCTTCAAGTCCCAATTGTATGCCTCCACGACAACCACCAAAGCAAGAACATCTGTGTAGTACAGACCGGAGAAGAAGAATAGCGGGGGAAACAAGCAGATGTTCAGCACGGTATGAGACACGTTCGCTCCCAATGGCCGAGTATTTGTCGTTCTCTGTAGCGTATCAAGCAACTTCTGGAGTCTCCAGGGGAAAATAACGGTTGTCGCACCAACGTTCGTCGAGCGTAGGACCTGTGGAGTGAGCTCTGTCGGCTCTCCGCGCAGCAGCAACACAATAGCGAAGAGGACATATGAGCACAGATATAGACCCGGTGGTGTTGTCAGCTTTGGATCCCATTGCGTCCACTTATGCGACCAGTATGCTTGTGCTTGCGGGACGTGGAAGACTTCGTCGAGGTAGGCTTCGGGGACAGTCTTATTGACAAGAATCACCCACAAAAGAATCAAGACCAAGCCAAACGGAACGAACCATCGAGCACTCCGGCTAAGGTCTGATTCTAGAGGATTGGCCATGCTGTGCAAATAATCACTTGCAGCAAGCAGGTAAAGTTGCCAGACGATCTTCAGTTCTTCGGCCACCGGGTCCCAGTCGGAGCTTGTGGAGCTCATCCGATGCAAACGTTTCAAACGTTTTGAACGTTTCGACGTCGCCATCTCGACGCGACTTGAAAGAAGACATCCAATAAAAGTCAATTGAACATTTTAAGAGCAGAGAAACGGTCTAATAAGAAGAAGAAAAAAAGTGAAAGGAAAGAAACGCAGAGCAAACGGTCAAAGTCGAGCGCACGATCAAGAAGACCTAGATCATCCTAAGAGAGATGAGATCGCGACTCTGGTGATTAATTGAAATTGCGTTCGCTTTCCTATTCACACGCCCAATGGCTTTTCCTCTTCCCCGGGGCGTCACGGCGTCAGAAATCGCCTTCCTGGCGGAGATGGAAACAGTAACAATTGTGCCTCGCCAGCGCCTAGAAGGCCTCGAACTACTAGGAGTATGCGCCTCCGAACTGCTCTATCTGAAATACTCAAAGCTAACCATCCCCAGGGCCCCATTGAACCTCTCGTACCGCCCCGACGCGCATCCCTCCCCCTCTGGCTCGCCATCCTTCTCAAACGCCAACGCCGCGCAAACATCATCCCACCAACATGGCTACACCCAGAGCCATTAGCTCTCATACTCGAAGTAGAATCCCAGCACCAAGACTACAAAAACGCTTTCTCCCCACCTCCTCCCCTGCCTGGTCAACCGAGTGTTCTGGACCGCGATGCACTGCCATCTGCTCGGCCGCAATATACACCAGACGGTAATCGGTACTATGCAGCGCCGCCTTTCTTACTCCAAAACACAGCCCAGACCGTGGCGTCTTCACGGGATCCCCCTTCACTACCATATCACTGGGTTGAGGTTGGGAATATGCTGCTTGACGCCGCGAGCGATGATCTCGTGGACCCGGATCAGATACGGAGACTGCTGAAGGACCTGCGTGAGGTGCGCATGGCGAAAATGAGGTCGGGTGTTGATGTGCTGGATGCTGCGGCGACAGGTGGTGGTGGTGTTGCTCTGACGGGTGTCGGTTCTATGGAGCTGGGAGAGGAGCGGGGGTTTGTTACTGGTGTGGTGGATGGTCTTCGGTATGTGATCCCATTCTCGAATACTTGCATAGCCGAATATTTGGGGGGCTTCGTTGCTAATTGGCTCATAGAAGAATTGGGTCCTCCAAGGAACAGGCTCGGCGTGAACAGATGGCCGAGCAGAGAGCAAATGGTGGCTACGATGGCACCCGGGACGAAGATGACGAAGAAGATTACATGGAGTTCTAATCATCCCAGGCTGTTGCTTTTTTCCCTTTTTTGGCGGTACCTTTCATTCGGAGTTATTCGGTGCATACCTGACGCAGACCAATGCCCAAAACGACTTTCATGTATATAATCCAATATACCCTCCGTATACAATGACCAACGGTTATAATCGAAACTATTCCAATTTGACTAACACCATAGAGCATGCGAACGCTTTAATACAAAGAGGACCGATGTCGCGAAACAAAACCGAAAGGATGGAGAGGGTATATTGGCCCCCGGGAAACACTGGTGCCGGGTTCGGCCAGGTTTATCGTCGTCAAAAGCAGTGTACAGAAAGTCACGTTGTCGACAGGCAAGCGTGATAATTCTCATATCATACATTGCCCTGGCTCTTTTGCATCATCTTTCTCCGCGCCGCCAAGATCATGTCGTCCCGACGCTTCTGCAGTATCCGCTGGCGCTCTTCCTTATTCTGGGACCAGGAGGACTTGGAAGGCTTTTCGGGTTCTGACTCTATAGCAGGGCTTTCGACCTTTGCACTCAAATTGTACCGAGATATCAAGTCCTGTGCGTCCGCTTTCTGTACGGGCGTGGCGGTCTGCGCCATCGGGATATTGGTGGGGGGAATTGCGACCGGAGGTTGGAACGAAGGAGGAGGCTAAGAAAGTGGATTAGTCAATGCTTCGATGACTGACTATTTGCAGTTGATATTTGAAGCCTGTGGCCGAGTCGAGTTGTCTGAGACACAGATAAGGTGGGGAAATCAATGACAGCATCAGCGCAACACGTACCGTTTCCAGCCCCCGTCCAGTCAGGACTCTCTCTGTCGTTGCGGCGACACTGCCGCCATTACGCTGCAGATCCCACATTATATCCCGAGTGTTCAGTTGAGGGAACATCTGCGCGATCTGTTCCACCTGCGCCGGATCGACGACATTGCCACGCCCCCTACCTCGGCTTCCCCCGCGGAGCTTTCGTCGCGGTTAAAGAACCATCGGAGAACAAAATACGATACAACCGCTAGAGTGAGGAGCGACGGTATGTTCAGCGAAGGTTCCTCGTCCGTCATTTTGTTTTGGCAGAGCACAAGTTGAGTGAGGTGTCCAAGGTCCCCAGTGTTGATATCTGGCCGTAACGGGTTTGAAAAAGGCAAGACTGAGTCGGATATGGTCTAATATAGGTGATGTTCAGGTGAGACACTTAGGTATTGGCGCAATGGAGGTGATTTCAATGAAATCGCCATGCGCGTTGGAAGGCGGCACGGGTCAGGTCGAGAATCGAGCACGTGCCGGGTATCGGAGTTTCCGAGTTTGGAAGTTTCCAGTCTTCGACGCTGACACTGATATTGTGCATATTGTGCAGGATCTTATATTTATGAACAAATTGAAATAGTCTTTACACATAATTCATAAGAGAGAGTCCATTCCCATCCAAAGACAACCAAACACCAAGGCCGGACATAATCATCTCACTCCACCGGGGACACCAAGAAAGAAACTATAGACAACCAAGCTCATGTGCACGCTTATTTCAAATCCGCAGGGGTCAACGCCTGAACAATACTGGTACCTTCGCTGAAGCGCGTCCGGAAAATCCGGTTGGCGTTTTGGAACATGCCATCTTTCAACGAGACAACGATGAACTGAGATCCCTTGAAACGGGTCTTGATCAGTCGACCGATGTTTTGCGTATGTGACAGATCTAGCGCGGCGTCGACCTCATCTAGAATGTACATTGGCGCGGGCTTGAATTGCAAGAGCGCCATGATCAATGAGAGAGCAATGAGCGAACGTTGGCCACCGCTCAGTTCTGTCAGACTCTGTTTCCAGACCTTGCCCAGGGACACCTTCACTTCGAGACCGTCTGTGATGTCTTTGCCTTCGGGAGGGTCGAGCTTGGCAAAACTTCCTGGTAGAAGCTCGTTGAAAATCTGCCCGAAGTCGCCATTCACCTTGACCCACGTCTTGTAGAGAGCTTCCTTTTTGTATTCGTTCAGGTTCATGATGGTCTCCTCAATCTTTCGCTTGTCACGGATGACTGTCTTCATCATGTTCTTCAGAGCACCCTCCTTCTTCTCGACGCTGTCAATCATGTTCATGACCTTCGGGTTGATTTTCTTTTTCATGCCTTGGGATCGCTCTGTCAAGTTGCGTAGGGTAGCCTTGCACTCGGCAATGTTCTGGTTCTGGAAATCATAAGGAGTGTTGGCGCGTCCGAAATTTTCTTTCTCGTCCGCAATCCACTCATGTTCTTGTTCCATGTGAGCCACGGCCTGGCTAGCAGTGTGCTGATCCTTTTGGAGCTTTTCGAGCTGATGGCCGAGCTTCTGCGCCTCTAGTCCATCCTCAGTGATTTGGGAGGATTTGCTTTTCATGGCTGATTCTAATTCTCGCAACTCCTCGTCAAAGCCGGTCAGTTTGGCCCTCTCATCATCAAGCTGAGCCTGCGCGATGTCATGGGCATCCTGGAATTGTCAGTTATATGATTATTAAGTAGTCTTGGGAGGGCATGGCATACCTTCAGCCGTGCTTGCTCGCGTTTTTGTGTTTCAATCTCTTCTAGTTGGGCACTGAGGGTGTTGTCTGACTCAACCAATTGCTCCTCGGCCGCGGATAAGTCGCTTCCAACCTGTTCAGAGTCTAATCTGGAAGTCTGCAATTCCTTCTGCAGCTCCTTGACCGAGCCAGAGTTTTTGATGAAGCTTTTCTTGAGTTTATCGAGTGTCGTCTGCAGTTCCTCTAACTTGCTATCTTTGTTGTTGCTGAATTCACTCATGTCTTTCTCAATTTGCTTGATATCCTTGGATGCGACGGCCTGGCGAGACTTAGCGTCGGCGATGTCTTTCTTGAGTTGTTCAATGTTTGCTCTCATCTCTTCAACGGCTTGGATGATCTACTTCAGGTTAATTGAAAATTGCGGGGATAGATTAGGAGAAACACATACTGAAGACGAAGAGTTGCTGTTAATTTGCTCCTCGGTAAGCTTAATCTCGTGGTTCTTGAGATCCAGATTTTGTTTGATAGAGCGAACGGAATCAAGCTTCTTCTTTTCCCTCTTCATGTGATCTTCCAAAGTCGCAAGCTGTCGTTCTTTGCTCCGTAGCTCCTTGGTGATCTCATTAAGCTTTTGCAAAGTCACGAGAACACCGCTAGAATTGGGGGAGCTTCCACCGGAAAGTGTTCCGGACGGATCATACACATCGCCTTCCAGCGTGACACTCTTCATCCGAACGGACGGATCAAATGTTACTTTCTTAGCTGTCTCAGCATCCTGGCAGATAAGGGTGTTGCCGAAGACATAGTTCATCGCCGCCAGGACTTCCTCATCGTATCCAACCAAGGACAGAGCGAGGTCAACCTTTCCAGGGGCAAGGTCTTGAGCAGCTCCAATCTTTTCCGCGGATGCCTTGAAGGCAGAAATCTTGTTAAGGGGAATAATAGTCACGCGCTTTCGCAACTTGCCTTTCTGAAGCAGCTGAGTGCCGGTCTCTGCGCTGTCCACGACCACATTGTATAGACGACCACCGGCGCAGATCTCCAGAGCAGTCGCAGCCGGAACTTGATCTTTATTGAGGGTGAAAAGTTGAGCGACCAAGCCCTTGACTTTGGACCGGTCAAAGTTGGGGTGAGGGTCTGCGTAGTTGAAATCGATATTCGCTGCCTGTCGCTTGAGCCCATCAGCCCGCTGGCGGAGGTCGCGAATATCCCGCTGAAGCTCGGTTTGCTCCTGGTATATTTGCTCCTCCTTCCCAGGCTCAAACCCAAGCCGAGTCAGCTCGGACTCTAGCTTGTTCGCTTGCGATTTCAACCCTTCGAGATCACGCAAAAGCCCCAAGTTCTGCTCCTTTGCCTTCTTTGCGCGAGGCTCCTCTTCTTTGATTCGTTTCTCAAGATGATTGATTTTGAGCTTTCCTTGCTCTTGTTCTGTGGCGGCATTGCTTGCGCGATTACGAGCATCTTGCAGTTGACCCTGGTAACCACTCTCTTGGCCCTCCTTTGAGGCGACACCAGTCTGCAATGTTTGAAGCAGTTCCTCCTTTTGCTCTACTTCGACGTTTTGTGCGTCCAACTCGGCTTTGGCGGTATCGTACTGGGCCTGTAGCTTCTCGTAGATCTTGCGCTTCTCCTTCAAGACTTTTTCAAGATCAGTGACAGTATTTTGAATAGTCTGTCGTTTCTCCTTCTCTTCATCCATGCTTGCATTCTTCAGATCAAAGACCGTGGTTAGTCGGACCAACTCGTGTGAGTAGTTCTTGACTTCATCTTCAAGCGCCTGGAACTTGCCACCCTTTCGAAGTTCCTTGTCGCGAGCTGTGCGCACCCGTTTCACGTCCTCCTCTAAATGAGCAATTTCACTTTTGAGTTTGTTCGCGTTATCTTCGAGGGCTTGCGCTCTGTTATTTTTGTTTTCGCACTCTTGGCCTGCAACTCTCAACCGCTCGCCGCCACGAACATAGTCATGGGCAACAACAAGTCGGGTCAAGCGCTCGAGGTCATTCTGTGTCTGTTGAAAGTCGAGGAAGGCTCGCTTCTCCGACCGAAGTTTCTCGAGCTTAGGTTCAATCTCTTCCTTCAGCAGTTCTTCGATCTCGCGCAGCTTCAGTTCTTTCTTTCCCATTGTCCTGTTTGCCTTTTCTCTTCGATCCTCAAACATTCGTGTGCCGGCTGCCTCCTCGATCATCGACAAGATCTCGACCGATTTCATATTCAGGACTTTGGTAATGCGACCTTGCATGATAAGGAAGTTGGGGTTGTTGATGTTCAGCTGGACACTCTGGAACAGGTTCTGAACAGTCTGTTGCTGCGCCCGGTGGCCGTTGATCAAATACTTGCTTGTGCCGCCTAGCACAATCTGTCTGGTGACGGAGATATTCGCATACTCCTCGAATCCGATCGGCGACTTCGCAGTATCCCGGTTGTCGAAGACGATTGTAACACTGGCTTTCGTGACACCAGCTTGGCCGCGCTTGTAGATGAGATCTTGGAGGTTTTGCGCGCGCACTGTAGTCATGTTGGTGATACCAAGCACGAAGCAAATGGCATCGAGGATGTTGGATTTACCACTACCGTTAAGGCCGGTGATCGAGTTGAAGGCTTCGTCCCTGTATTGCGCGATTAGCAAATCCGATCGGCCCAAGATTAAGCCAAAGCTATAATTTCATTCATGCTTAGACGCGGTGGATTGCATACCATCCCGAGATCACCGTACGCACAGCGTACGATTTGAAGCCCTGACGACCTAGTTAGCGCAGTGAATAACGATGGAGCAATGTTGAAACTCACATCTATGACAATTTCAGTAATCCTCATGATTGCGACTCCGAAACGGCGTTCTGCTCGCTAGCAGAGTGCATAGGTCGACCAGATGGGGAGTGGAGGGGATTGATTGTTTTCCCGCACCCGCTGTTGATGGTTTGCCCATTTGGGTCTGGCGTCGTTTTGCTGATGTCAGCGCGGGGGCTTTGTTCTCACGTGATATCGAAGTATGAAAAAATGGCACTCGGCGACTGGAGATTAAACCTCTCTGCATTAACTGACATTGGGACGATTAAAATTGTGGATTTGATAACTGGTGTCCGAGAAGGACTTTGCCGCTTGTACTTCGACTCCGCATGGCTCCTTCTTTTGCCAATACACTCATAATGATCACGATCTACCAAGAGGGAACCCTGGGGTTGACTGCGTAAGAGTCGCCCCCAACCAATAATTTCCATTGGTAGCATTGAAATATGGCGCAGTAAGGGGTTCTAGTTACTACATACCCCTTGAAGGTGCGTTTTTACAAATGCCTCAACTGAAATCCACTCGCGGAGACATTCTCGGACACTTTCTATATCGTACAACAATTTCTGGTACAGAAACCATGTGAGCTTTAGGCGACCGCAGACTATTTAAAGAACAGCCTGGACCCAGAAGGACCTCTATCTTTTCATGATCTCGGTCTTGCATCACATCACATCACATTGAGGGTTCCTTCTAAACAGGCACTTTTCAACTTCAATCACTACGATACGCAATTACCTTGCAGTTTACCAACTATGGCTGAAAAAGTCGACATGGATACTTTCTT